TAAAAATGTTAGAACTGTACATCAACTTTCATATAGGTATGAAACAGATAACTTTCATACAGGAGCTTAAAGATGTATATAATTGTTAAGATACATCCCAAACAGAAATAAGAAATATAATGGGAGAGCATCATGTTTACAACTCAATGAATACAGGCCCCAAATCCAGGTGTTCTGTTGAGCTGAGGAATCTAACTGGAATTTATCAGTATTTTTCTGTTATAACATGTCAAGAATACATGGGGGAAAAATATATATATTCACATACATATGTACTGTGGTAAAGTAGTAGGAATGGGCAAAGATTCAGATTATTTAAGTTCATTACCTTGAACCTTTCTCTAAAACTAAAAGTAAAATCAATTTTACGGGAAAGTGCTATAAACTGGCAAAGATTTAAAAGGAAGAACTTGTTGGTACTTGTCATATACTCAGGAGTGCTTTACCTCAACAGATGAGATGATTACCCCAATAATGATTACATTATTATAATTTCTTAAGGAGGAATTAATCTTAGAAACAAACAATAAGGAAAACCATCATAAATGGGTCCTTGTGTGTTTTCAACAGACTTTCACAATACTCAGGCTAAAGATGCCAGACAAAGAAATTACTTTAAAAAGAAATCTCAATACTTGGGAAACAGATTTCTTTATAAGAGTACTGATTAAACAGAGGAAGTTGTCATGAGAGGAAAATGTAGCCCTGCAATGTCAGGCTTAGACTATGAAACGGAACATTCACCAAAGGCCAAGTTTTCAGTACACATCCTACACAATAATACCCTCTTTATTCAAAAATTACTTGGTACTCAAAATTCTAATAATTTCTGTTTCTCTTTCCCAACAGAACTGTGCCAGGCATACCTAGATTTTGGAGAAACTATCTATGGACGCTGTATTCTCTAAAATAGGGAAATTTACAATAAAAGAGATTTGAAAAAAAAGTCTATATGTCTTTGACAAAGATCAGAAAATCTTTATCTCCACTAGCTCTTGATGCATTTGTCAGCATAAGCTCTGAAATAAAAAGGGGAAAAAAAACAAATAACAAGTATATACTAAGAAAATAAATCATGAGAAAATCTCAGAGATTTTAATACTAAAATCTCTATGATAGTATTACTATTTTCAATAAAACCAGTGACTGAAATCACATTAATAATGTCAAGTTAAACTGGTATGTAAAAATCATCCTCAAGAAAATACAAGCTAACAGTATATTCTTAGCTTTATATAAATATTTTAAACTTATAAATTATCTATGACATGTCTTCACTATTGGTAAGCAATACTGCAGGCCAGTAGTGTTACAAATGCTTAACGCTTTTGGCAGTGAAAGTGGATCAAGAAACATGAGAATATTGTTAAGACACAATGTGCTTCTGCCTACTGTAAGGCCTTATAAAACAGAAATAAAGGCTTGTTTAATGTCACCTACCAGAAAAAAGAAACAACCTTTCTGAAAAATGCTTTAGTATTATTATCAGAAAGTATTTTAGTATTTATTACTTTAACACCTGAATGGAGGGTAGAGGGGACTCCAGTGCAGACAAGTAAACTAGAAGCTTGTGTGTAAAAGGTGATGAAATGATTTCAGCATAATGAAGAAACATAAACAAGTACCTACAGTTAAGTGGTCCCTATCAGTTCACAAATATGAAAATCAGACACACTCACAGAAACATTCTTATATTAAAGCACCAGTCAATATGATGATCATCTTTACAAAAAAAAAAAAATCATTAGCACTTCACTATACAGCATTGCTCTCTGTGGAAGTTGGTTATAAATCTCAGGTAAACCTATTTATTTTTTCTTGCAACTCTGGACAACAAAAATGAAGTCTGAAACCCAAAGCTCACTATTAATTTTCTCTGGTTTCCCCCAATCCTCAGACCTAGCTCCCCACCATATCCAGCAACTGGTTACATCACCACTTATCAAAAGAAGTGAGTGAGAACCTGATCTAAGTAATCTCCACTGAGGGAGCAGAGAGCATAACTGAATGAACACTTTGAGCTCTTCGCTTAAGATCCACTCAAAACACAAGAGCTTACTATGCCTTACAGTGCTATGTGACCATTTACCAAACCCCTACTTTTAATTCCCAAATGTACTGGAAACATATAACCCAGGTAAACCTGAAGTCTTCCAGAAGAGAACAGGGCCACTACAACTGTAATTTAATATTTTCTTATAGTACCAGGAAAAAGCACCTTTCATTCTTGGGCATGACAAAAGCAGCGGGGAAGCTTTCTAAAGAGAAGGGGACTAGCAAGGAGCATGTGACCTAGACTAGGTCAGATGAGCACTAAGGATAAGTTGATTACTTGCTAGCCAGCAAGTAATCTAAGAAAAGAGAGCATTTTTTAAATTATGTATCTTCCCAAAAGTTTTAGTCGACCTACTATCAAGTAAGGCAAGAAGAAAAGCTGGGGTCACAGCTGCTCCTATAATCACTACTTGTCTCAGAGTAGGAACCTACCAGTTTTTCTTCCTCACTTATGCAAGACTGATTTAGATGGAAAGCTGTGCTCTTTCCTTAGTTTGTCATATATCAGCAGTTTTAGAATACAGTATTAGCTCTATTTCCCAGATGAATCTGTTAAAAAAAAAAACTTGTATACCGTAATTATAATTCAAATTACAAATGCACTGAATGCTCAATTGGGGAAATTTCATCAGAATCTCCAGGGGAAAAAACAAGGGGAGGTCTTTGTGTGTAGGATTTGGTAGAAGCAGATATATCACCAACCCTAAACAATCTGTCAAAAAGAGAACAAAGAACAAATAGCAGTTGTGTTCCAATAAACCTGGAAGAAAGCTGAGTACCAAAGAATTGATGCTTTTGAACTGTGGGGTTGGAGAAGACTCTTAAGAGTCCCTTGGACTGCAAGGAGGTCCAAACAGTCCATCCTAAAGAAACCAGTCCTGAATATTCACTGGAAGAACTGATGCTGAAGCTGAAACTCCAATACTTTGGGCACGTGATGTGAAGAGCTGACTCACTGGAAAAGACCCTGATGCTGGGAAAGATGGAGAGCAGGAGGAGAAGGGGACGACAGAGGATGAGATGGTTGGATGGCATCACCGACTCGACAGACATGAGTCTGAGTAAACTCCGGGAGATGATGATGGACAGGGAGGCCTGGCGCGCTGCAGTCCATGGGGTCACAGAGAGTCTGACACAACTGAGCGACTAAACTGAACTGACTGAAACCTGGAAGAAGAGAAGCAGATCTGAAAGGAAAGTTTAAGGATGACGGTGCAAGTCAAGAAAGAAAAAGGAAGTGAGAAAGCAAATGACATCACATATATTAATACATATACACAGCTCAAGAGGCCAGAATTAACCCTAATTTTTAGACCTACTGCATTTCCTACAAAATAAGAAAATAAATCCTGTAGAATATTCTATATTGTTATAGGGTATGTATGCATTTTTATTCTTAAACACTGTCATTCAGAACCTCCATAAATTCCCATTTCTCTACCCAAATCTCTCCTCGACTTCTTGTGATTTCTAATAAATTTCTCTAAATAAAGTGACCTAACATAGATAAGACTTGAAAAATTCCTAGAAAGAAACCAATGTTTTATTTACAATCTAAACGGTCATAATAAGCTAAGAAAGATAAGATTAAATACAGAATTTTTTAAATCCCTAGGAAATAAAAAATCACGTTCTCTTCTCTGATGTAAACTATGTGCTCCTGCCTTATGTGCAGACAGTCCTCTGGGACACACGGGCCACAACTGTTTTTCTAAGAGTAGTAACACATATACACTCATGGAGAGTCCAGGGTGGATCAACAATTCGCAATTCGTGAACTGGATGGGAATGGTGTGTGATCTGTACCCCAGTGATGCTCATGGCCTGTCTGAAAAGTAAACTCACAACCTCTGTCTCAACAGCACTGCACTCCAGATGCTAAAAATTCCAACACTAACATGGATTTAGCAAGGGTGGGGGCAGTGAAACACTAACAACAGGGAAGACATTTGTATAGTCAAGTCTATGCAAAGTTTTCTATTAATGGAAACCAGCTGCAAGAGCAGAAGATGGTTTTCAGGATTTAAGCCCAGTGGAATACTAATGGGGTTTTTTTCTATTCCAAGATTCCAAACTGAAACAAGGCCCTTTATCTCATTATTCACTGAGAGTCCCTGTCACTCCCAAGAATTACCTTTCTAAAGTAACTGCTCTATAGCCCAAATTATCTATTACAAGATGTGTGCCATGGCTCTGAAGAGCCATTCAAACCTACTCCTTATATGAGCAGTCATGTGATCTCCAAAGAAATACTGTGATCAAAACTCTGTTTTAACTACGTGACCCACAAGACCTCTGGCAGAGCCCAATTTAAAGTTGTAGAATTCAGACTTCACATTCATTATCAGGGATTTTCACCCTTTACAAAACAAAGTAATAAAATATTCACATATGGTGGTTGTTTCCACCATAATTCTATTCTGACTGCCCCAACTTAGTTCTATGATTTAAATGTTTTCTCTCAAGCCCTGGCTAATTAATTTTTCTCCCACACAGCTCATAAATCAATTGAAAAACTGTTTGCATATAACCATCTTAATAGTTAATATATACCATCACCTTCCCCAACACCAACAAAAAGTTTGTATGCTCTGTTTTCCTGACAGTGACTACCAGCTCTTCCAGTATCAAGCTTATTTAACATCTGATTTGTGCAAACTGCCCCTAGGAAATTCAGACAGTGGTTTTACCCATAATGGGAAAAATCATTCACATAAGCTTTTAAGAATAGAAATAGATGAACACCTATTTCTCATGCAAGATTAACTCAGAAATCTTGTGGTGAATTGGAAGAAAAGATGTTAATTCCTAGAATCTTAAAGGTTGATTAAAATACAAGACACCTCTGGTATCCCATTGAAGAGACAAGTATATCTGGATCAGATCACCATCAACCCAAAAACCGTTATAAAAGTGGTTTTAAAGTGAAAAAGCAAGAAACAAACCTCAATTTTATCTGTTTTGGCATCTCCCCAGTATATTTTGCCTTCATCATAATCCAAGGCTAAACCATTGGGCCAACCAAGAGAAGTGTTAACCAACACTACTCGATCAGAACCATCCAAAGCTGCTCGCTCAATTTTCGGGATTTCTCCCCAGTCAGTCCAATACATGTACCTACAGAAGTATACAGAGTATGAGCTAAAAACAGATAATGAACTGTAAATTTCAGATATCCTAAAGGTGAGACCCAACCCTCTTTTACATTCGTTACCAGTTAACACCTAAGAAGGAAAAACAAGTTAAGACTTAAAACATACAAAGAGTCCATTTAAGACATTTATAATTGCAGTGTATAAGCTAGTAAAAAAAATTTTTCAGATGAAACAGTGTTTTCTAGGGGTGATAATGAAAAATGCCTTCCAATAATGAGACTCCATGTTTAGATTTTTCTTCCCCCCAAGATATTTTGTGTTCCTTACCAGCAACAATCTTCTCTCTCTTGCTAGCTTATCATCTCTGACAGAAAAAGGTTATCCCAGTAGTAATATTCAGATGGAAAACCAATTCCCCAAATAACTAACTCTTCTCGTACCGCTGATTCTTGTGGCTCCTGAGAGTTTAAGGGGCTCAAAGGCATTGGTATGCACTGAAGTGTAATAATTTGTCATTATGTTCACCCTCAGGATGACTCTCATAATAACAATTAATGTTGATGAGTATGTAGAAAGCTATGTTTCCCTGAATCATGGTCAGGGTGTAATAGCCAATAAAAAAAAAAAAAAGACAGACAGACAGACCAGGCATATAGCTGCATGTACTGACCAAGTTTTAGAAATCAGGCCATTCATATATTTAGGGACATTTAAAAAGAAACATATTTGTTACCAAATCATCCTAGAAGTACTGAAAATGAGATGAAATTAAATTTTCTAGGGGAAGAGAAAGAGTTCTGAAAACAAGTTCTCTCCATATTTTTCATGGTCATGATGCAACCTCGGCAAAATCTGCAGCCAACACCCAAAGTCAACAAGTATGGACTTAATTTAGAAAGAAAACGTATTCAAAACATTCAAGGAAAAAACTAGCAATTCATTAACTTGAGGTTTTATTCCAATCACTATATTCTAAAAATGCATAGTCATTAAAGAACTATTTATTGGAAAGCAATGTATACTTCACGTTGTTTCTGTCAATGTTTTGGGTACCTGCAGAAATAGAAACCCCTGGCAAAATTTTCTGTCAGCAGAGCCTCTTACCCAACCATGGGATCTAGCACAATAGCCCGGGGTTCCTCTAAGTCCTCTGAAATCAAGATCTTCCTCATGGTCCCGTTGAGCCTCGTCACTTCTATCCGATCAGTGCCAGTGTCTGTCCAATAGAGATTCCGGGCAACCCAATCAACAGCAATACCATCAGGATGGGCAATTTGAGCAGTGACCACAAACTGACTGCCAGATCCATCTATGAAGGAGCGGCGTATGGCCCTCACTTCATCATCAGTCCAGTAGATATAGCCTTCCACGGGGTCATAATCTATGGCAATGGCGTGGCGGATGTCTTCTAACTGTAGAACAATGTCAGTGAAATCTGGTGTATCCAAAGAAATGCGTCTCAAGTCTGTCCTTCGGGCTAAAAGCAGTAATTCAGTGGCACCTAGAACAACAAAGTGACAAACAATGAAGAAAAAATGGAAACCCACAGGCCAAACTTAGTCTCTAAAGAAAGAATGCAGAACTTTTTCAGGAACTGAAAAGCAAGGAGTATAAAAGGATACTAGGGTCTATTTAGCGTAGAATAGAAAGCAACGCAGTAAAACAGGAGTAGCTGGACTAGGAGGTCATGCTCTGTAATGGCTGAACTCTCCAAATCAACTTCGGATTCTCGGTCTGGCTTCACTCATTATACAGCCCCTGGAACTAAGAACAGCCACTTAAAGATGAAATGAATATAACTAAGTGATGACTAAGAAGCTAAGTAGCTAAACACTAGAGGAACTATAGGATATAGGTCCTTTGTTCAAGAAGGATGTTTAAAAACGTAAGGAATCCAGGACAAGGATCTTTTGTGATTAATGAGAATGTTCTAAAACTGGATGGATTGTGGTGGTCGCACAACTTTGTAAATTGACTAAAAATCACTGAACTGTACACTTGAAAAGGCTAAATTTTATGATATGTAAATTACCTCAGTCAAGTTGTTTTAACAAAAAGAACTATAGGGCAACGTCTGACAGAACTGGCGACAAAAGAGGCTATGGAGGAGGAAACAGCAGCAGAAGAGAGAGGGAACGTGAGGGGAGGTAACCAAATAAACGTGACCCCGCGGGTAAAGGTGAGAGCTGCGCGTGCAACAGAACCGGATTCAAGCAGTTACACAGAGTCAGGCAAAACACCTCATCTCTCTAAGCCTGGTATCTTCACCGATATCTCACAGCGCTGCTGAGAGTCTTAGAGGAAATAAATACAAAACTCAGAAATGTACCAAATATATAAGTAATCAATAAATACTAGCTGATACATTATTTCCTAATAAACTCTTAAATTTTTATTTCACTGAGTTTTAAATCAGATGTATTTATGAACTGTTTTAAACCCAAAACAGCAATCAATAAAAATACAGCTGAGAATGAGAACATTAACTCAATCCTATTTTGATTTTATATGCTCAAGTAAACCACTAGCAAAAAATCATCTAACATTATATAAAAGCTAATAAAAAGATAACAAGTAAGTTGGCATCTGAAAGAGTGAAAAAAGATTCCCAACCAAAGAAATGAGTGAAAGAAAATACTGATATTAAACTTCAAGCATTAATCTGGAATTATAGTAGAAAAAACTGAGGAGAGAAGAAGCTCTCAGCATCAGCTTTTTGACTCATGGATTAATTATAAATAAACCCTATCTTGGAGAGAATACAGCCCTAAATGCCACAGTGGGCACCAAGTAGGAGTAACTTTATACAGTTCACTGCCTCTGCAAACTACCAAAAGGAGCCAGCCATAAACTCTTCAAACAAAGAAGTCTTAGAAAGTGAACCTGTTATTTTGGCAAGGTGATCGAAACAAAATAGCTAACTTAAGGCGGCTGCTGCAGCTAAGTCGCTTCAGTCGTGTCCGACTCTGTGCGACCCCACAGACGGCAGCCCATTAGGCTTCCCGTCCCTGGGATTCTCCAGGCCAAGAACACTGGAGTGGGTTGCCATTTCCCTCTCCAATGCGTGGAAGTGAAAAGTGAAAGTGAACTCACTCAGTCGTGCCCGACTCTTAGCGACCCCATGGACTGCAACCCACCAGGCTCCTCCGTCCATGGGATTTTCCAGGCAAGAGTACTGGAGTGGGGTGCCATTGCCTTCTCCAAACGTAAGGCTACTACATGCCAAATGTATATCTGAAATTAAAATGCTCATTAAACAGGTACATTTGCACTGCTCTAAGGCTGTCAACCTAGACAGCTTATTAAAAAGCAGAGACATTACTTTGTCAACAAAGGTCCATCTAGTCAAGGCTATGGTTTTTCCAGTGGTCATGTATGGATGTGAGAGTTGGACTATAAAGAAAGCTGAGCGCTGAAGAATTGATGCTTTTGAACTGTGGTGTTGGAGAAGACTCTTGAGAGTCCCTTGGACTGCAAGGATATCCAACCAGTCCCTCCTAAAGGAGATCAGTCCTGGGTGTTCATTGGAAGGACTGATGTTGAAGCTGAAACTCCAATACTTCGGCCACCTGATGCGACGAGCTGACTCATTGGAAAAGACCCTGATGCTGGGAAAGATTGAGGGCAGGAAGAGAAGGGGACGACAGAGGATAAGATGGTTGGATGCCATCATCGACTCAATGGACATGGGTTTGGGTGGACTCCAGGAGTTGGTGATGGACAGGGAGGCCTGGCGTGCTGCGGTTCATGGGGTCGCAGAGAGTCGGACACGACTGAGCGACTGAACTGAACCGAAGGCTGTAAGGAGACCACTATGGCTAAAATAAATCCTCTATTTTAAAGTCAGGCTACATTTTTTAACATAAAAGCAACATTACAAAAACCTTTTGTTTTACATTGAAACCAAATTATTATTTGCCATGGAAACCTCTCACAAGAATCAGCCAGTTTCACCTCTGACTAGGAGGATAATTTATCAATGCCAAGTCATGACAAATATCCTGTACACCAACTCAATCCCATCTCTCTGACTCCCTGATCCCCCTGCCAGGAACTCTAACCCACTCCTAAATAAAGGTTTCTGCTTTTCAGAGTTAGATAAAGAGGCCACTGCTAAATATAACAATTTTCTTACCAGGTCGTGCTGGTGGCTAGAGAACCAGATGGTGATCCATAGGGTTAAGAATGAAGAACAACATTCTCATTAAAAACAAAGAGAACTGGCATTCTCCCAAACCAATATTACCTTGAAATGTCCTAAATCAGAACATTTCTCCAACATGCCCTCTCTCTACAGGGAACTGAGAGTAAGGAGAAGAGGCAGTGTGCTGGTTAAGTATAGCAACAGGCTGCTTTGAGCAGAACAATAAGGAATTCTTTTCTTCTTCTGAAGGCACTTCTCTGTTGTTAAAAGGTAATTAAAAATATCATTCAATCATTTTTCAGAAAATGTATCTATCCCATGATAGTCTTTATTATTAAAAGTTTAATAAACATCTTTTCCTTGCAGAGGTTCTTTATTTACAAATGCTACCTGTTAAAAATATATTCTTTATGAGAATATTCATTTCTGCAAGAATGAACTGTGATATTCATGACTTTGAGATCTGACAGAGAAGAGAAATGGCACCTATTTTTTCCCCAAAAAACTGCATGTTAAAGATTCAGCTAAAATATTAAAATAATTTATAAAATAATATTCAAGAGATGCCATAAAATACAAAACACTCCCATTATATGAGCAACTGCGAAGACTGAGGGATTAACTGACTAGTCTCCCAAAGCACTATAACTTGCAGAGCTTATTACAGACAAATAAAATAAATCATACAGAATCCCAAATGCTATCTAAAATTCTTCCTTCGTGGCAACCAACTTCTTACCATCTTTGCAGGTTTTTCCATTCTCCAGGAGTGTGACCCCAGTTGGGCAAGCACACTGATAAAAAGGCTTGACTGGAGACATCAAACACAAGTGGGAACAACCACCATTATCAATTCCACATGGATTTGTAGCTGTCAAATGTAAATCACACTGATTAATACCAATGATTATGGATGACCTCCCCCACTCTAGGTACACAAAGGTTAATGACCATACATGAGCACCTCTGATAAACCAAATTATTACCAAATGTCATCTGGGTGCCTGACGACCAGACCATCTGCAAGGAAGGGAATTAAACAGTGAAAAATCTACTTAGCATTCTGTATCCAGAGAGGAATACACAAGAAGTAAAGGAGACTGTCCCTGCCCCAAAAAAGCTTGCAATCTAGCCAGTAAGCCAAAATTCATGAACAGTAATAATGGAAAACAGTACAGAACAATAAAATTGAGACTGTGCACATTCAGACTGTAAATAAGTATAGAGTCAAATGGGAAGTAAATCACTAAAGGATTGAAGAACTGAAGAAAAGCTTCATGGTAGATACAGGACATGGCAGAAGACTTGAAAGACAGGAAGGACAGATAGGAGGACATTCAAGTGTGGTAAAACCACATGAATGAAAGCTTGGAGGCTGTACACACTGTGTGAGACAGTACAGTGATCAGAGTAACTGAAGATTAAGATTTGACTAACAACAATAAAAGCTGAATGAGCACAGAGAAGGGAATGTCTGTGATGGAGGCACTGAGACTCAAGAAAAGCCACACTGTGGAAAGATTTACATGGAAAAGGTAAGCATGATGGCTTTTAAAAGGGGAAACTGAGAACCAGAGATTAATTAGAAAATCTGAAGAAACAATAGAAAAGGACGGATTTAAACAATACTCATAGAGAAAAATCAACATGGAAACAAAAAATATGAAAGACAAAAGGCAGTATCACAGATAACTGCAAATTCTCAAACAAGTAAAACATAAAGGATCAACAGTGCCATTAAAAAGCCAATGAGAGTAAAACATTTATACAAGTGACTAAACATTCTTTTTTTTTACAAAAGAGTAACACAAACATTTTAAAACATTTTTATGAGCTCATGATCACTGAATTCCAATATGACATATTCAATATTTGACTATTTCCCCTTAAATGGAAGGAGCTAATACAAAGTAATGCATAATCCAAAAGCCCTGCATTTTTGGCTCTGGAATACAATCTGAAATATACTCAGACATATGTCAGACATTTATTTACACACAAGTGCCAAACACTTAACATTCTCTTGCAAGAAACTGTTGTCAGCTGTCACAGTCCAAATCATTATAAAGGGTGACCAGAAACAGGAGAAAAACAAGGGGAAGATATACACAGAAAAGGGGTAAGCAAGTACTTTACTGAAGCAACCTGAGGTATGTAAATGAACTAGATACATTAATAATTGCATTAATTAATAATTAAGGTTTCCCTTCAAGGAGAGTGTCTGTTTCTAAACATACAATGAACGAAATCACTCATTAGTGAGAAATAATATGAATACGAAATGTATTTGCACAGAATCTTAACATATGAGCTATCTCAATTTTTTTTTTGTCTCTCTTCTTTATATTCATAACCCCAGACTAAAACAAAGCACTGAGGTGGTCTGCAGTGATAGATACTAAGCTACAAATAGTTTAGACTATTGTCTACCTTGAATTTGGACATTTTCCCGATTTTTTATTCCTTCCCACTCTGAATACATCCTCTCTCTTTTTGCCCCCTCACTAAAGCCAGACATCAGAGTGCTACAAAGCTCTTCCAACTTGCAATTTAAAAATCAAGATCACTTACCATTTGGCTGCCTCTGTTGGCTGAAGACATGTATATCCATGGGAGAGAAGATGTTAGAATGGATTTCACGCAGACCCTCGCCAGTGTACTTGTTGCAAGCCAAAATGGAATGTGTATTCCAGTCAGTCCAGTACAATGTGTCCTCAAATAACGTCAGGGCAAAAGGATGTGGAAGGGAACCTTTAACCACCGCCTGCCTAGTAACCCAAAGAGAAAAGCGCAAACATTTCTAAATTTTCTTTTTTAATCAAAACTTTATCACTCCCACTGAAATGGTCTTGTAGTCCACATTAACACATATAAATCCTGGATAACACGTACCTTAAGGTCAAATATACCTATGAAAAATAGTCACAGAGTAAATTCAAACTTACTTGAATTCATGGTGTCCAAATTCCCCAACCAAGAATGCTTTCTAACTTGGCATCAGGCGCCAGGTACACTCCAAGCTAGCAAAGTGAACGCTAATGTACTAGCACTGCTGTCAATTCCCATCTCACGTCCTTCCACATAATTCATGTCATCAGAAGGAGAAAGGCTAACAAAATGAAAAATCCCAGGGTGTAGATTGTCACTGGGAAGTAGTTTTAATTAGCAGTAAGCTTCTCCCTTCCTCATGTGGAGGAACAAAGAATCTGAGCCTGTTTCTTTGGTCACTTTTTATGGCTTTCATAAGTGAAAAGTAAAAACATGCACATGAGCCTAGAAAGTCATTCTGGGAGAGCTCTCTCTGCAAGCCCCAGATTAGCTTCAGCAAATGATCATCTTAGCTGGCTTTTTGCTGTATGGTTACTTCATCTCCACAAGCCAGGGGGCGAAGAGGAAGCCTAACCACTGGCAGAATGTGTTCAAGAGACAAAGCAGATCCCCAAATTTACAAGCAATCCTAACTATATGGAAGGAGAGGTAGAGAGCCTGACCAGTACTCAAGACACAGAACTTTGCAGTCTCATGGAGAGTTATATGACTGATTGGTAAATAAGAAAATTCTTGAATAAATTACATTTAAGCCACAGTAATAAATCAAGAAAATAAATGCTTTGATATTTTCATAATACCAAATCTTAATATTTTCATAAATCACTCAGCGAGGAGAAAAAGAGGAAAATATAAGCAATTAAAGAGAAATAAAGGATAACACACTCAAAGACAATCCAACTTTCAGGTCCGTAAAGTTATCTGACAATCTCTAATACCTAACAGACCACCTATACTAAATTAAAGAGCAGTAAGATCATTTTCATCTAAGCAGAATTAGCATGTGTTATTATACATGGAATGGTTCTAGCCTAAGGTGCTTAAAATTTGAGCCAGATTTTTAAATAACTTTATTCAAGATTAGAATGACTAGTTTCACAAACTTTCTATTTTAAAGCCTCACAACTATGCCACCCATCACCACAATTTTCTCCTTTCATTTTTCCTAATTCTGACTTCCCTAGCATATTACTTTCTCTCTCATTTCTCAATAACAACTGTCACAATGTCTACTTCGGAAGTGGTTTCTTTCACTTTTTAAATGAACAGCTTTATAACATTTACTAAAATGATTGTTACTATGTGAGTGATATCATAGTTCAAGTTCAAATTTAAATAGGCCTGCATATTTTACACTTAAGTATCCCAAAATTCATTAAGTTAAAACATAAACAGAGAGAGTTCTAAGAAGCTGCCAAGAAACTAAAGTAACATGATTGAGAAATATAAGTAATACTAAAGATGAAATTACTTAGGCTTTCATTAGACATCTTAAAGTATCAGAATATATAATCTGTTCTCTGAAAGACTTTGGGAGAAAAAAAAAGTCTAAGTCCTTTGTATAATATTAAATAAAAAGTTAAAATTCACTCTAATGAACTTAACACAGAAGAATAAACAGACAGCAACAGCCAAAATCCTTCTCTAAAAGATATATGCATTTTACAACCTGACTGAAAGCATTTATGTACTGATAAGAAATGAGCCTGACATGCTGTGGTCTGCTGGGTTGTAAAGAGTTGGGACCCGGCAACTGAACAACAAGAAATGAGACAGAACTGAGTTCAAATGTCCCCCGGCACTTACAGTAACTTATTTCCACAAATTCTGTTTCCCTCACCTGTTATTAAAAGATGATAATCTAACCTGAGTTACTGTGAAGATTAAATCATAATATATGAAAAAGCATTTAGGCATTATGCTTAGTACTTAATAAACATTTCACAAATGGCTCCTCAACTTTAGGATGTCTGCTTTCAGTATTTTAGTATTTCTGATACAGGGATAATATTTTACAATTTTAGTAAACATCTCATGAGCTAGTTTTTAAGTCAATAAAAAGCTTACTAGAATCAAGTATTTGGCTTATTTATATTCCCAGGATCTCACACAATACAGTATGTATGAATTAGTTAGATTTATCACTCAATGAATGCCTGATAAAATGAAACATTTTTAATGAAATATGAAATTAACAAAAAGCACAGCTAAGACGGCTATCACTCATTGTCATATTCTTTGGTAATTTGTCTAGCCAATGGTAATCTGTTCCTGAAAGTACAGATTAGTATACACTGTCTTCACCTGTCTTCCCTCTGATTGGGATTACTCCCCTGGAAACTCAAAGTGAAAAGAAGGAGTTGATCATGGATACTGAGAACAAACGTGGCAGGCAAGATTGAAGCCCAGTTCTTCAGTAGTGTGCCTCAACCATAACAGGAATTAAAAAGTGGATCACTACAATGGGTACCAAAAGAAAGAAACCAAGACCCCAAGTGATGTTATGCTTCAGTGCTGGCAACCTCTAAGCATCATCTCCTCCACCTGTCCATCATTTCCTTAAGAGTTCATTCTTGCCAGTATCCCAAGTACAGGTGTGCACTTGCTATCTATTTCAGATTCCACAGCTGACAGGTGACTCTTTCAAATTCTGCACCAACCAGACTTACCCTTTATAAAACACTTGTGCACTTGTATTCACTTTCTGTTTCCGGACCTCCTCCCAGAAAGTTGTCCTCTGCCCCTGACTCAGAACTCCCCATCTGTGTCAGAAACAAATCTACTTAATCAAACGAAAGCACTACTATGATAAATTCTGACATCTGAACCTAACCTTAGAGGAGAGTTTCTCCACATCACAGTGAGGTTTTTTATAACACCTAAAAATATGACAACAGTGGGAGCAGTATAGTATTTGAAAAAATCTCTACAAGTCTTTGACAGGAAAACAGAACAACTAGGAAGGAAAACCAAAACCTCATGGACAACACTTACAACAAAGACAGGTAAGAAGGTATTACCACAAAACCCTAGACACAGAAAGGAAAACTACCAACAGCTCTAAGATCTGATTAGCATCAGCACTTCTGCAAGAGAAGTGCAGAAGGAAAAAAATAGGGCATTTGGCAGATCCAGGCCCAGGAGAACACACAAACAGATAGCAATGGAAAGCTTCACAAAACAATCTGAGAATAGCAGCTGACAAGGAATGGCTCTGGCCACTTGGAGAGTGAGTGAATACAAAGACTGGATGGATGGTATGGAAGGGACTGGCATACTAACAAGCAACTCTCTCACTGACCCAACAGAGCTCCCTTCCAGACAAAGGCCCCAATCTGACCATACACCACTGGGAACAGAATGAAAGTGAGGATGACAGTGCAAGAGAAATAATAGAAAATAAGGTGCAGAAAAAAGTGGCAGAAGGGAACAGAGCCAGGAGTTCTCACAAAGCAAGCTGCCAACTTTTCAAACACACACACTCAAGACTTCTGTGAAGTGAAAAAAGTCATGATAAATTCTAACTTCTTCAACAAGTTCCAGAAAACAATTTCATGTAAAAATATAAAATATAATAAGATCAAGTCTCATTTTAAAAGTTAATATTAAAGGGACTTCCCTGGAGGCCCAGTGGTTAAGACTCTGCACATCCAGTGGAGAGGGCACATGTTCAATGACTGGTCAGGGAACTGACATCCCATAGGCCATAGACGTGGCCAAAGAAATAAAATAAAAAGTTAATATTAAAAACAAAAAAGAATAAAGAAAATAACATCCCTAAAGACAATACAAATATGCCAGAAAAACTGGCTCTAGAACAAATAGTTTACAACCTATTGCAAAATACTTTAAATGCTTTATAGTAGTATAATAGTGATAAAAGAATAAGAAAAATTAAAATTTAAAACCTCAAATTGAGGTGAAAGAACTAATGAAAGAGTCAGAAGTCACTTCAATGAATTATAAACTAGGAATGACACAAGAGTGAATAAACGGAACAGATAAGGAAACAGAAACAGCTGGTGAAGAGAAAGAATTTTTTTTTCATGATTTTTTTCTGTTTTATTAAGAAATAATTAATATACTGGGTTAACCAAAAACTTCATTTGGGTTTTTCTGCAAGAAGTTACAGAAAACATCTTATATAATATTATACATATTATACGTGTGTGCATATATATATATAAAAGGCAACGGTTGTTAAACTGGGTAAAACTAAACAAGATTCAACTGTATGCTGTCTATACACATACCCAAAGACCCAAATTTACTGAAAGTCAACAGTAGCCATAAGTGAGATGAAGTGGTCTATCAGATAAAACATACTTTCAGACAAAAAAATATTACTAGAGATTAAAGCAGCACATTTTATAATGACAATCAAACCATCATGAAGATACAGCGATTATAAACATACACAAGTAAAAACAGCCCCCAAACAAACGAAGCAAAACCTGACAGAACTGAAGGAAAAAATAAGACAACAGTAACAGTCTGAGATCTCAAAATCCTATTCTCATTAAAAGGTAGGACAACTAAACAGAAAATCATCAAGGATACGGAACTTTGAACATTAGGACAAGTATCAATTAATTTTAAAAGACTGAAATCATACAAAGTGTATTCTCCAAGATTCTGTTCAATGGCCAAAAAAAAAAAAGAAAGAAAGAAATCACTGCTTTTCCCCAAAGATCAGGAACAAAGCAAGAATGTCTTCTATTCAGCAGAAGTTCTAGTGAGTATTATGAATTAAGACTAAAAGGCAACCAGATGGGAAAGGAAGAAATAAAACTGTCATTATTCACAGATGACATGATTCTGTATGCAGAGAACACTAAAGAATTTAAAAGAAAAAAAAAAAAAGCCTCAGACATACTTAATTCAACAAGGTTGCAGCATACAAGATCAATATACAGAAACAAATTTCTACAGACTAGCA